TGTAATTTAATTGGTTATTATTACTGATATTATCAAAAAATTATCACGTGATCTGAACTTTTGAATGTCATTCTGATAGATTCTTTTTTATTAATCTATTAAGCTAGATTTAAATATTTCTTTCTCATATTTTTTATTTTCTTGTGTCAAATTTGTTTTGCTAAACTGATTAAAAATTTACATATTTTTATTGATTTATATTATCAGCAAATCAAAAAATTCATGATTCTTATTGATTATGATTTAAATACTTTTTTCATCATAATTAGAATACTTAAAATTCTAGTTATGATAAAAAAGTATTTAATTATGTGATATTCATGTATATTCAAAAAAATTTTATAATAATAAAAATTATAGTAAAGATTAAAATTAGAATTAAAACTAGAACTAGAATCAAAATATATATAAAATTATCTTTGCTTTTTTGTATTAGATTTGTTTTGTTAAATTGATTAAAATTTATGTATTTATATTACTATAACACATAATCTAGCACTTTTTCCACTATAACTAGCAAAAAAATACAAAAAATGAATATCAAAAAATATTGAAAAGATAATTTTATAACTTTAATTTCTAACTCTCTAAAATAAATTTTTAATATTACAATAGAATTTTCTGGAATTGATAAAACAAAATTTATATTTGAGAAGTGCAAAATTTTAATATTATAATCATGATTAATACTAATCAACCAATATTTTTTCTTAAAATCATGCATAATATTAAATAAAGTTTTGGTTAGAGTTAGGATTAGGTTTAAAATTAAAATTATTGTATAATAAATATAAATAGTAAAATTTCAAAATACAAGCTATTTTTCAAAAGTAAGCATTTATTTTCAATTTTTTGTATTGCATATTGATCTTGCAATTTGATTTTAAGAGGAAATATCAGATTGTTAACATCAAATCAAAATTACATGAAGATACTTTTTTTTTGTCATGGTTAGGATACAAAAGTTATGTTTTTAATGGATTTGCAGTTATTTTTTTAGTGAATTTGCAGTTATTTTTTTAGTGAATTTGCAGATACTTTTAATTTAGATTATGTTTTTATACAGTAAAACAATTTTTTATAATATCCAGAATTTTTGTTTGGTTAAGTGAAAATAACATAATTATGTTATTTCCACTTAATCTAGGTTATGGTATGACGTGAAGAATGCAAAACTCAAGTCATTTGAATGACGTGGAGAATGCAAACTCGTGAAGAATGAAAAATTCAAGTCGTTCGAACAACATGAAAAATTCAAGTCATTCAAGTAATGGAATAAATGCAAACTCAAGTCATTTGAGTATATATATCAAGTGATGTACAGATCATAATTTTCACGTCACTTAAGATACTGAGGACATGCCGAGGTCAGGCACGAAGTGCTGTGGTGTGATGTATAGAATACAAAATTCACGTTATTCGAGTAATGTGTGAAATACATTTTGCAAGTCATTCGAGGTCGCCATAACCTGTCAAGAGTTGGAGTAGCGAGTGAGTAGAAATCAGGGGAAATGTGTCACATTGGTGATTATATATCCAAATCGTGTAAGAAACGAAATTAAATGTTAGGTTGATATTTCTTATAGTTTTTCAATAATGGACATAATATATAATCGTAATAATAGTGTACTTTTTATTTTTATGATATGAAATTTCCAAGGTCAAATTCTGGCTCTTCACCTTCTTCTCTGATACCTTTTTCAATGACAGTATAAATAGCAAATAATGTAGTCCATAAATCTGTATAAAAGATAATATAGAAATCAATCCCCACTAAAATATAGCCTATTATAATTCCGAATATTGTAAACAACTAAGACAACATCCTACTACCAAAAAACAAAATTTCAAATAAAATTAAAAAGGTAATTGTCACAATGTTGAAACTTTCTAAGATTAATGTGACGAGTGTTGTGAAGGTTATATAGGCTATTGTTTTTCTTGATTTGTCTTGACTTGGTGGCGGTTGGGTTGCATTGGTTGTTGTAATACTTTCTTGCGTGTTTTCGCTTGGGTTTGGTTGGCTGTTGGGGCTTTCATCTCTTGAAATTAGCTATAATATTATAATAGATATGATTATTGAACCATTAAAAGCCATATAAACTATTGTGAACTTAGTGAAGCGTTGTGTCATATAAAAGAATAGATAAACATTATGAATATATTCATGTAGGGAATATATTTCTTTGTTTCGAAATTAAACATATCATAAAGTTGTAATCTTGCTGATACCATAGGGAACAAACAAGTCAGGAAGAACAGAAATTTTGAGGTTTTTTCTAACATTGCAAGTTCGTGACACGCGGAATGAGTTTGCCTCATCACTCAAGTGACAATTGGAATGCATTTTCCTCACAACGAGGGGTGATTCTTTTATTAATATACTATTCGAATGCCCAGATTTCAGGCTACGAATAGATGGTTGTCAAATTGTTATCCCAGCATGGATAGTCGTCCGAATGTGAGGTGTTGTTAACATTGAGTATGCCAGCATCGGTATCTTGCGAAATATAATGCAATGAGTATATCAATAGTAAGATATGACGACTTACCCATCAAAGTATACCTAAATATTTGTCATCAGTTAAAAATTTAACTGGTGACACTCATCAAAAAAATTTCTTTTGGATTCAAAATCTTAAGATGCGTGTCATTCCCGTCATCACTTTTTGTCACCGATATTTATTCTGATATCATCTGATAACTGCTGACACTTGATTACGATACCTTAAACATGTCTTAATCTTCCTTGACTGTGGCAAGTCCATTTTGCGCCATTTTCTCCAGCCTTTTCCGATGATAATGATCTCGAAATCGATACATATCAGCATGAGTTCTATACGTGCCAAATATAGATGTCAATTTACCACATTCTTTACATCATTATAACGCGATTATAAATTTCTCCGGAACTGAGCCGGAAAGGATCACGTGATTAAGCACTGTTCGTAGGCTTCTCGGGGCGGGGGTAGAAATACACGTGTTTACGTGTGACATATATATCGATATTTCGATTGCAGATAAGGAATAAATATGTGTTTTGCAGGTCAATCCAGTCCTAAAAGGAACAAACCTTTGAGTATCCAGTTAATGTTAAAGGTTGATTTTAGATTAGAGTCAGGGTCAAGGTTAGAGTTAAGATTATATGTAAATGTCTCCCCGATATTTTTATTAGTGCATCAAGCGTCTGCTTCCCGTATTTTTGCATTTTTAATTTTCTTTCGCTGGCTGATCAAAAATTTGCGTATCCTTGATTTATACAAAATTTTCAACTTTGTGTACAGCGAGTAACAAAATTTTGTTTTTAAAATACAAATCAACACTGCTAATTGATAACGGACTAGAAAATTAACTAATCGAGACTTCGAACACTATTTAGCATCTTGCGTGTCTCGCTAAAGTATATAAATAATAAAGCAAAAACTGCCGACAAACAAACGACAAGGTCTTCAAGAAAAAACTGTGTAACTAAAAACACTTCTTGTTAACCGACAAAAGTCAAAGTATAAAGAAAATAAAAAACAGTTTACGATTTTTTTTTTAGTTTGGTTTTAGAGTTAAAGAGGAGAGAATAAGATAAAGAGGAAGAAGAATGAGATTTATTTGTTAATAATCGAGATTTGTTATGTAGTTATATGCAAATCCTTGCATTTTTTAAACTCAATAAAAAGAGAAAATCAGCAAAATAAAAAAAACCAAAAACCCAAAATAACAAAAAAATAAAAAAATAAAAAGGTGGAGAATCGTGTCAATGTGAAGATGTAAAACGGGGAGTGATTGTTAATGAGTATATAGGAAATGATAGGTCAAAAGACAAAAAATATACAACGAATTCGAAGGAAAAAACAAATAAAAAGATGTTGTGTATTGTGAGGAAAAGTGATTGATATTTAATTGCAGGAACATCGATCGTACGCAATCACCACTTCTCATCAATGAACCAGAGAAAGTAATGATATCGTTACTATTATACAGAGAGCGTATAGTAGTACTCGATGAATTTGAGCATTTTCCCCCACTTTCTTTTGTATGTACTCTGATATGATAATATCCAAAATAAATATACAATGATTTTATCCGATAGGCAGATAAAAAAAAATGAAATTTTGATTCTTTTGAGAAATTGAAGGAGAAGTCGAGATTTTTACAGTTGAGAAAAATGAAAGTAATCAAAATTTCTGGTATGGTGGTTTTCAAGATAAATATAAATATAACTTAGATATAAATATGGATGCGCTTAGCTTTTGTATATGAGATGATGAATGATGATGATGAATGCAGGTATGTATAAAAAGCTGGATAATAGATAGATATGAATGAGAATAAATATTTTTGGATGATTTTTTTTGGGGTTTTAAAGGTCTTTCTTTTTGGAAAGACATGCAAAGAATATAAAAAAATGTGAAATATGTAAAAGAAAAAATATACAACAAACAGAGTATCAGCATTATTTCCGACAATTGCACCAAAATTTAGAAATAATCGCTAATAAACCAATTTGTTTCTGCCAGTCTATATTTAAAAAAAATGAAAACAAAGGGAAAGAAAAATATACAAAGGCGGCAGTCTATATGAACCAAGATCCAAGGAATTTGAAAGCACTGACAACAATCGTGCTTATTAACCCTTCCGTTGAATCTCGGAAACTCTATGTGAATTTATTTAAAAAGTCTATGAAAAAAATGCAGGTGTCTATGTATATATAGGGATTGGGAATATTTATAAACACAGTGAAGTTGAAATATATATATTTTGGAAAATGTAGGGAACAAAAAACGTATAAATTTATACAAAATTCACACTATTGAAAGTGTCCGAGGACCTGATATAAGGCCAAGACCGAGTTTTGATCGGTCCGCACATAAATAATTTCTGCGAATTTATAAATCTCTGCAAGAAAATATATTCTGCCTTGCAAATGGAGCATCTACGAACAATAAAAGAATGACAACAACTGCTGGAGTTTTGTGAGACTAAGAAAGCAGACCAATGACAAATGATCAATCCAATAATTCTTGAAGCATTAACTCTTGTTGTCGAAGGCCATTCTGAAATTCAGCCAACATTTGTTGAGAATTTCGTCGCGGAGTCTCAAGAGCAAATGCATAGTGTTCAGCAAGGGAAGAATAAGCTTGTTGATTATTTTGAGGATCGATTGACGGATTAAAGTTTGAGTAATTGTTAGAATTATTTTCATAATCAACATAGAAACCTTGTTCCTCAGAAATGGGAGAAGCAAAATGACCCATCGCCATCAAATCATAATCAGTAGAAGACATTTCTGGCGAAGATGAAGAGCAAGAGGTAAGAGATTGATTAAGTAAAGCCGCAGTTCTCAACGTAGATTCATCGTAAGACGAATCAAGAACAAATCCATCATCAACTGGCATAACAGCACGGGCATTCACATCCATTTGGTTGTACATTTGATTCAGTTGATCAATTTCATATTGATGAGAAGCTGAGTGGTGATGCGAGAACATTATGTTATTATTGCCGTTGTGTGCATCTTCTTGGGAATGAGAAAGATTTCCGGCTTCATATCGTAATGCTGATTGAGATCGACACATTTGATTATTAGTGTTAGAATTATTATTGAATGGGAAAATAGGAGGCGAGTATGACGCAGGTGAACACGTGAATGGTGACAATAGAGGAGTTGATGCGGTTGAATCACTTGTCCATGAACTAACAGATTCAACGGAAGATGCTCTATAGTGACCGAATAAAGCTTTCTTTTGTAAATGATGCATATATAATTCGTCTTGCTCATCAGCAGTTTCAATACGAATTGGATATATCACTTTATTATCATGATCAGTGTCATGGCAAATCACTTCGGCAGAATAATCATCAGCAAATACGAGTTGTTTATCGGAATCAAGAGGTTTCTTTCGGTTCTTGGCCGAAGTTTTTGTACCACCAGGAGTTTTTACGTTCGACTTCTTTTTCTGTGGCTTGAATTTATAATCGGGATATTTGAGCTTATGCTCCAGTTTCAATTGCTTTGCACGTTCACGCCAGTATTCTTTAACACTTTCTGGTTCATTATTCCACATCTTAGCTGCGAGTACCGACACAACCTTATTATTCAAGCCAGGATTATCTGCCAAGAACTTTTCCTTGATATGTTCGCGATAAGCCATGAAACAATTCTTTGGGCGAGGAATATAATTTTTGTCTGCCTTACGCTTCCTATAAGCAGAGAGTCTCGAAGATGTAGACGAATTGCTGGTGGATGATGGCAATGAAGAGGAGGAAGAGGTATTATTAGTGATATTGTTCGGTGTGTCAATGTTCGAAGCATATTCGTCGTTTGACGGGACAGAAGTGTTATTATTGGGTTTAGGAATATCCATTGGCTTTGAACCAGATTTTGTAGAATAAGCGCAATCAGAAGACGCATCGTCGTCGTTGTTGTTATTTAATAAAGTATTGTTTGAATCATCAATTGAAGAAGATGATGAAGTTGTTGACTCATCAGGTTTCGGTACTAAGACAACATTAAATCCTTTTGGTACGTGATAAATTGCATAATCAGGATTTAGTATTTCTGGTGCCGAAGGAGAATGGGGAAAGGACATTTCGGAGCAGGAAGGTGACGAAGGCGTCGACACTATGCAAGGTGATTCTTCTTGTTCTTGTTTAGTAAATATGCACAGTTCGTGGTCATTGATTGAATTCATTGTGGATATATAGTATGCTAAAGAATATTTAATAACGATAAAAATAATAAATAAGGAGAATTCACGTTATTACGACAGCATGTATGCAAAAAAAAAAACAGACGAACTAGTCCTCGTTAATGTAATTACTCTTATTAAAATGCGAAAATTTGGGGAATTTACTCATTTCTTTTTTTTATAAAACAAAAAAGTACTAAACTTACTCTTTGTTACTTAAGGGTGTAATATTCAACAATTTATCGTCGTCGCTGTCCTCGTTTTTCGAGTTGTTCCTTTGTTCTGTGAGATGGAAGAAAACTTCTTATTGTGTATTGTTATTGTTGTTGTTGTTGTTATTGTTGTTCTTGCTATTGTAAGTCTTGCGTTGATTGCTCACAGAGCAAAGAACGGTTTATAAATGTATATATAGTCTATTGAAAAAAGAAGAGGAGGAAGAAACAAAAAATAGGAAGTGGGGTAATTATAACAAAAAAAATACGCAAAAAAAGAGGTGGGTGTGACGATAAATATAGGGTGTGTTATGAGCTGATTTTTAATAATTAATTAATTAATTAATTAAAATCTATTATAAATATAAATATAAATATACATATACATATATATTTTAATACACGCCAGTCAGCAGTTTGGCTAAAACATAACACCAATCATAATCAATTTAAATTCAGGTTTTTAATAGAGGAACAGTGGCAGTAACTATAACTATATGCAGTACTCAATTCGGAATCATTGTCACGCGTAATAGTATGTATGAATGCAACGTAACATTTATTGAAATTGTAAACAAGGAAATCCTTTTTCTCTAAAGCAAAGAAATTTTAATTTAATTCGTTCTAATGTATTAAGAGTTTTCTTATTAATTATTAATCCGTTATTATTATTATTATTATTATTATTTTCAATGGTAATGATTATGCTAGAATAAAGTTGAACTTTACTCAATACATAAAAAAAATTAAGTGGTATAAAGACACGGTTAACCTTTGAAGTCAAAGATTCTAGCGTGTTTCGAAACAGAACTTCTAAATTATCATTTCATCACCGAGTGTATCATACACCAGCAACGCCATTATATTATAATTTTGGTCGTTAATGAAATTAGTAGATGCATTTATTTTGAAATCATCGGCGAAGCGTTTACCCGAGTTTATGTCGTGTATTATTTCGAGAAATTAGTGTATATTTCATTACGTTATTTTATAAAGGAAAACCTGAATTAAAACTGGTCTTTGTTAAACTTTTTTGGAAGGTTAATTCCAATGTGTGCGTGTCTCTTGTAGAATTCCAGAGATCTTTTTAATTTCTGACATCCATCTATTCTTGGATCATCGATCAACATCAATCTCATTCGTCGAGAACAACGTTACACAACCTTGATGCTGACGTTTAAAATTGAGTTTTGTGAGAGAATTACACATGGTTTTTGATGAATGATGACATTCACACACAGCACACGATTTTTTGCTGTTTAAAAAATAAGGAAATTATGTGTTTCACTTGTCAGACAACAAACAACAGAAAACAAACTCCATTGGTGTTTGATATTTCGTTTTTTAATCATAACTGACCAACTTTATTATTTTTACGCTTGCTTGAAATGTTGTGTGATGTGAGACCAGGATTCCTGCTCTTGGGCTGCACATGTAATACAGAGAGAATTTCTCTTGCATTACTTCCAAAAACAAAACTATCTGTTGTGTTGTGTTGTGTTGTGTTGTTGTGTTGTATTACATGAGGTGGTGGTGTTTAATAAAAAAAAATGGAGAGGGTGTCAAATTGTAACTTACAATTAAAAACTAGTAACCATCAAGTATATAGTAATAGGCGAGTTAGGAGAACTTCTTTTATTAAGTAGTAACGGGAGAGAATATATTTTGACACGAGCTGAGAACTTTTTCTCAGACAGGAAAAAGTGGCCTGACTATCATCAGTACCATAAAGACCAAAATTCAAGAGAAGCGTGATGAAACAAACGACGAGAAAACGATTTATTAGTTTTTCCGTTTATCGTTATCAAGTAGTTGTTTATATGTGTCTTACCTCATGGTACTTACACAACACATTCATTCATCCCTTTTTTGCAAAATATTGCGCGGAATCTCCGTACAAAGAGGGAGCAATAGGATGGGGGTGATGATTCTTTTTATGTTCTAGACGAATACGTTGACAACTATGATGATAATAGTGAAAGGGGAATTTTTATTTATAATAAAATATGATCAGAAAATTTCGCCGCGTGGCATCATTAAAAAACAAATATGAATGTTAAAGTAAAAAAGGTCGTTGTGCTAGCAAAACATTACGCGAAAATTTTTCTCCACCATCAGAAGTGTCATTGCTGCTACTGTTGTTGGTCGGTGGTGTCTTGCATTTATCACAACGTAATACGTCAGTTAAAAAATTCACACTAACACAAATAAACACATCAAGCATACTAACAAAAAAAAACTTGAAAAAGTACAATGGCAAAAAATGCGGGGATTGTAAAAAAAAAGACCGTAATTGATTGATGCAATGCACCCAATTATTATGGCAATGCGAAAAATGCAAGAAATGGTGAAACATTAAGAAAACAATAATTTCCATTATAAATGGAAAAAGAAATTACCGATCTTTTCACTGCGCCGTTACGATCGTAAAAGTGTATATATGTGGTGTATAGTATAATGCAAATAAGACAAATTTAAAGTAAGATCGTAATTGAAAGTATAAAGACAATGTTAGAAAGTAGTTTTAGATCGGTTATAGCACTATTTCTAATTTTGATCATAAATTCGGTACTTTCTTTGAAGTCTGCTGACCTTATCATTATATAATCCAAAGTCCAACTTTCTTGATATTTATTAGTTCAGATGTTAAAATTAATGTTCATTTGCACATAAACCTCTACTAAAATCAACTGCGATCGAAAAACATTATGCGGAAAAAGATGTCATCACGGAAATTATTGAATAAGAAAAAGCAAATCAACTCGGAAAGAGTAATTACTTCCATTTTCTCCCCAAGCACTAAAAATTATGGAATTATACTGTAAATTGACAATCAAAAACCAGAATAATTTCACAGTCCCCGACGAAAGTGATGGCAGTGAGTTATTTTTAAAAAAGAATATTCTTAATAAATAACTATTGAAAAATTTTTACACCTGAATGCCTCAGAGTGAGGCATTATATCCTCAAAAAATCAAGACATGAAGTATTCTCCTTCTAGCCTTATCTATTTTTTCGTTACTTTTCTAATCAATATGCATAATTTATAACGATAATGCAAAATTCTAAGCTGAACATTTTTTCTCAAGTTAAATGATAATAACAATAAAACAATGATCAAATCACCAAATTGAAATATATGTTATGACTCTCAAACACCACCGATATATTTTACAATCTATCTTTCACTTCAGTCTTTTTTGAGGAGGTTAATTAGATGCTAAAAGTTGTACCATCATTACTTCGCCGGGGACTGTGAGTGCAACAAATTAATATTTCGTCGAATTATGAGGAAGATCACGTTTCCTCTATTTCTTCTTGAAAGGTAAATTTACCGTGTTTTTTTACCATTCCGGAATCTACAGTTGCCCTATAATTAAATATGTTTTTTTTTAATATTTAATAATATCGATATAGATACCTATTAGGCATCTTCTACAATATTTTTTTTTAAATGAGAAGCAATTTCAATTTAAGGATCGACATTGTTTTTATCACCATTTAAACAGAGTCCGCATTAAAGTAAAAAATGATTATTATATGGCCCATGCGTATTTAATTTTTAGTGAAACGATCTAAATTTAATTTTCATCTCGCGATTCTAATAAATATTCAAAACGTACCTCCGACCCCTTATAAATGAATCGCTTCATATTTATTCTATTCATAATAAATAAAAAGCAGTACATGCATGCATGATTTAATTTCCGAATACATACAAAAAAACGAAGCAATGTTAATCTTTCGTTTCTTTGTTGTAGAGAAACAGTAAATAAATTTTAATCCGAACAAAGAAAGAATCGTAAAACTAGAGATTTATTATACATACACCTAAAAAAAGAATACTAAATCAATATAAATAAATATTGCGTATATAGGTAGTAGCTATAATTGTAATGTAAAGTCTCCCATCCCAATATAAAAAATTTAATTTGATAATTAAATAGCAAAAAACTGTTTTGGAACTTCAAGTTTCTTTCGACGTCGGAATGTTGAAATAAACCAATGTCCCCACTCAAGCCACAGCGACCGATTCGTAAATATAATCAGCAAATATATTCCGAGAAAACTAACAGACATCTCTGCGGCAGCTAGTAATCCCAATGAAGGAATATTTTCAGCAGCAAATTTTGTACAGTAATTTTGTCCTTTACCATACGTAACGCATTTTATCCAGTCGGAAAATAGAGCATCATGAGTTTTAGAAGTTTCAGGCGTTATTTTTCTTAATGAGATGAAATAGAAAAGCCAATAAAAGATCGAGGTTGCTAATAGAATTATGGCAAGCACTAATGCTCGCCATTGAATTTTTACTGCTTGGATTACGTGATGTTTATGTGTTATGAATTCGACGTAGCTGGGGGATGAATCGACGGCAGTTTGTGATGAAATCTGTGAATATTACAAATTGGGCTTCAATCAGTAATCAGTAAAACATTAAATAACTAATCATAAAATAAAATAATTTTACAAACCTTTGCAATATGAACAAAAGTCAAAATATGTACGAAGAAACTTGGTATTACAAATACAGCAATTGGATAAAAGAACATGGAATTCGCTGATTGCTGTTCAATTAAGCATAAGGTAGCAAACTCGTATTTCACTTTATGTGTGGCTAATGGGATAATCGTAAGAAGCAGAGGGACACCCCAGCAAAAAATATACATGTATATATAGTTTTTCGGCGTAATCTTAGTGTTCCAAACTGTGTGAAGATGTAGATTTAAAATAATCACGGCAGCCCAAATTGTTGTCGCATGCGTGGAAAAGATCAATAATGCGCCTAACACGTAAAAAAAGCTTGAGCATAAAATTATCGTTGATTCAGATTCATGATACGTTCAGATGGTATAATATAAAGTACCTTGTATACCACATAGGAGGTTATTATCTTGATCACTTGGAATATTTTCAGTATGACATTGGATTTTTCGCGCATCGCCAATTGAGAAAAATACATTCGACGAGTACAGAAATATCGCCAGTGACGTGAATAAAATCAAAATGCTTGGATGTGATTGTTTTCCGGGTAAGACTAAATATGAAAGTAACATTATAAAACTCGCGATTGCCGAAGCTACCCTCACGCCCTGCGTTACTTTGTACCAATTTTCTAATCGACCTTTTTTGTAAAAAGCGTAACTTTGAGGACATGGAATACAACAACCATTATCACAGGGTTTCAATGGATGATAGCATATCGCTGGTGCAGTTGAATTTATCCGTACTGAATAACAAGCTTCTGCGCTATTAGTGTAATTGAAGTTGTAGGCATCGGATAAACCGAATACTGATGTAGAGCTTATGGTTGTATTGCAATTGGGATTCGGCAAATCATCCAGAGATAGTTCGTAATTTTGTATGTCCCTTGATATGTTGGCTTTTATTTTTGGTAATGTTATGTTTTTAAACTGAAATGCACTTACACATGTATTTTTACATGGTAATAGTAAATTCCTGGAATCGTTTTGTGTGCACTTCGGATAAGCTATACCACAAACCCAATTTACATATGCATTACTGGTAAGATTATTATTATTAATGTCGTTGGCAAGAAATAGACTTCCAGGAGCCAATAATGGTTTTAAGCTGTTTAATTTATTATCAATGTCATCAAAAGTCATGCCGTCTGCAAGTAATACCTGATCACTTGTCCTTATATATCCCTAAAAAAAATCATCAAGTTAGTTCTATATATAAATCATAGTGAACATTAATAACGATAACGATAAAAAAATCGAATTACTCACCGAACATATTCTATTAACAGGATAAGATTGGCATGCTAATAACAATCAATCGGGATATTTAGTATTAAACTACAAGACAAATGACCAAAATAAAGTTATTACTTACAAGACTCGCTTTTCACACCCGAAATTAAAAAGCCAGCAATCATAATGCACACTGTCACCGTATAGCTAAATTGCGGCGGTCTAGACCAATAATTTTTTGTTTTTGACTGTTTCATTGTGTGACAGCGAGGGTCTAATTATCGCAATCTTTTTATCGCTTAATCCAGCGGCAGAGAAAAGCCAAGGAACAACAAAGTATCAAAGTTTGTCGTCGTCAAAATTTTTTCGCGATGTACAGTGGGCGCTGGATACAATAACGTGGTCGGGGAAAGGGTTTGTGTTATTATAACGATGATGTTATCTTAAAGGGTGTTACTGTAACGAGCGCTCACTGTATGTCGTGTGATTGATTACTAAGGAAATTGAGTTCTTTTTACATGAATATGGAAAACTTTAATATCCTAAGAATACGAAATTATGAGAAAAAATTAACATATATTAAAAGAAAGACTATTATTTTGATTGTGACTTACCAGCAAGAAAGCATATAACCATAAACCGTGCAAAAAATGATATAAAAAACTCTGTACAGTATACGCTTATATAGAAATTAATGATTTTTTAAGAGAACGAGAAATCAAAGTTTAATAAATGTGTGGATGAAGCAGTGTGGTCAATGATATAAGTGAGAGAGAAAGAAAGTGTGCAGCATTACGTAACATACATATGGAAAAAAGGGCATTAAGGAAAAACTAATTAGAGTTATAATAATACTACTTACTAACAGAAATATAATAGTCGAATTCACATTTACGCGAAAGAGCAAATCATCGCTGTTCTCGCTGGAATTTGTTTGATCTTTTTAAGGAATTATTACCGGTACCGAAAATTTAAACTTTATTATAACAAACTTGTATTATTTTGTGTCATTGATCATCGGAAATTAATATTAAACATTAATATATTTGGTAATTGCTCCGCCTTGAATCTTAAACTTAATTCCTCAAAGTGTGCGAGTTTTTTTAACATGTATATTTAATACTAATTAGTATTTGATACTAATTAGCATGAGAAATTGATCCCGAATTCATTGAATCAAAAAATACTGATTTTTTTACGAATTTTCATTCTTTTCACTAATTAGTGCAACAACACGTTGAATTCATGCGTAGTATTGACAAGAAATATTTTCGTTTTTTGGTTATGATTTAAACTTACAATTCCCGGCTAAAGTCACGAGAGAATAAATAATGGAGGAAATACTTTACATATAGACGAACATAAATAATACTAAAAACAAAAGCTGAGATTGAAAAATTGTTGGCATTCGCTCCGTAATAAACTCAAGATAAACCTTATTTTGGGGGCATGAATATCGATATAAAATTGTTCGTTTTTGAATGTCACACAAATATTTGTATTTTTTAGATTTTTATAAAATAATGATTTTATACAGCGCTTTTAGAAGAACAACAACTTTGCCAAAGTTTGTGAGTTACAGAGATTTAATATTTTATTGCAAAGGATGATATATACTCATTGTAAATACAGTATGATTTACCAAAAGGCAAAAGTACGTTATCATGTCCTTGGTTAAATAATAAAAAGGTGACATTGAAAAATGAATTCAAAACCTTTCCTGGACGTATTGCTGTTCTTCCTAATATGTCAAGGATGCAAATTCGTCATACGAGTGAAACTAAAAGTGAGACTGAGGTGATGATTTTTCGAGTTTTTAAATGATGTTAGTCAATTTAAAAGATCCGTCAATTAAATTTAAATTTTCTTTTTCCCTTGATTAAGCGAAAAATAGGAGTAGTTGGAGCAGGTCAAATGGTGCAATCAACATTATTATTATGTCGACTCAATAATGATGACGTTTTCACTAACTTTCTAATCTTTCGCCAGGGATTAGGGATTGCTCTGGTAGCTGCAAATATTGCAAAATTACCCGTCAAAATTTTAGATGCTAATCCTGAACAAATAAAAAAAGGACTGGCATTCATAGGTCACTATCATCCATTTGGTATATTGCTATTACTATTTTCTTAGTTTATTAAAATAATAATAATAATAATATTATTATTATTATTATTAGATACACTCTTGGAAAAAGATATTGCCAAGAATCGAATTACGCGTGATCATGCTAATGCCACAAAGTCACGCATCACCACAGTAAATGACATTTCCGCCTTTAATGATTTAGACTTTGTGATCGAAGCTGTCTCGGAAAATGTTGATCTAAAATGTTCAATTTTCAGCGAATTGGACAAAGTCACCAAATCTGATGCGATTTTAGCAACAAATACCAGTAGTATTAGTATAACAAGGATTGCTGCAGCGACAAAAAAACCTGAAAAGGTAAATCAATTTAACACGACTCTTAATAATTCAAATAATTTACCTAGAGAATGAATCTGTAACTTGAATATTATGTAGGTGATAGGAATGCATTTTATGAATCCTGTACCAGTTATGAAATTAATTGAAATCATTCCTGGACTGGCCACTTCTGATCAAACTCGCAATACCACACTTTCACTTGCAACAGAAATGGGTAAAACCTGTACAAAGTCCCAAGATGTACCTGGGTTTGTAGCAAATCGCATATTAATGCCATATATTAATGAGGCCGTGATGGTGTTAGAACAGGTTGATAAGTTGTGTAGATGTCCAATTATTTTCAAACATCTATTATAATGTTAATATTAAAAACTATCAAACAGGGAATTTCGTCACGTGAGGATATTGACGCAACAATGAAACTTGGAACCAATAGTCCTATGGGGCCACTCACACTGGCAGATTTCATTGGATTAGACACATGTCTTGCAATTATAAAAGTCCTTCATCAAGAGATTGGCGATACAAAGTATAGACCAGCAGTCTTACTACAAAAATATGTGGATGCTGGATGGCTTGGTAGGAAATCTGGTCGAGGATTTTACGAGTATTAATTAATTTCATCTTGACATGAATGTAAATCTTTATTATGAATAAATAAACATTATGCCGAGGAAATCAACTCAATCTTTTATAAGATTATAATTGGTATTTTTTATTTAAAGATATACATGATATACATGATATACATAATATATATAATTTACAATCTATTTTGTGTGTGTATACCGAGTGTATATGTAATGATGCGATGACAGTGACGATGATGAATAATGTTGGTGCTTTGTTTGAAGATGTGCTGTTATGTTTTACATTCTAGTAATATCGAATTACTAGGTAAGTGAAAAAGGCGCCAGCGCCATATAGAAAATAAAAAGGTAATTATAAATAGAAACAAGAATAAAGAATAAGTATAATGATAAAATAGATATCAACAAGTAGAGATCTTGCTAAATTGTCTCTTATTTTTGTCTCTTTATATATTGCAGGTACGCAAAAATTTCGGAAGAAATTTATTTGCCTAAATTATTATTACTTTTTTGATTCAATACTTTGTCAGGTTTAATTTGGATTTCTTTTTATGCAATTATTATGATTTTCTGATTTACGGTCAAGGCTTACACCACGACGACTTTGATTTTACGAGATAATACTACAATAAAGTAAGCATATATTTTAATTTTATTAATAACTTAAATATGAAATTTCGTCAAAAATATCCTACTCACCAATTTTTCTTTTTCTTTTTACGAGCAGCCAAAGTTTCAATAGCTGCTGTACTACCATTATTCGCGGCTGTAGTTAACCATTTAACAGCCTTTCGTTTATCTTTAGTAGTACCATAACCACCATCATAACATAATGCAAGACTATATTGTGCCGAGACATTACCACCTTCTGCCGCTTTCTTATAGGTCAAGAAAGCTTTAAGTCGATTCGGTCCAGTTCCCTTTCCATAATCATAACACTGGGCAAGATTATTTAAAGCGGCAGCATTTCCAGCCGCAGCAGCCTCTTTAAACCAATCAAATGCTTTAACACTATCTCGTTCCACACCTATTCCATCTTGATAACATAGTCCCAGATGATTTTGTGCTGCAGCCTCGCCATTATCCGCCGCTTTCCGATAACAACGATATGCTTGCTGCGTATCACGATGATGTGTCCCGAATCCTTCCTCATAAAAGTATCCGAGCACACAATCACGATACCGTCGTTCCCCGCCATTCTGTAACAACGTGAAGATCTTTTTCGGGTCATTCTCATCATTTTCCGCCCATTTTTTTAGATTTTTGGCAAGCCAATCGAATCCGAATTTTTCGGCTTCGACGTACATTATTATTACTTCGTCGAGCATCTCTGCGTCTGTTTTTGGATTTGTGTTGATTGGACTGATTGGTCGTTGTGGGTATGAACTACCAACGCCTGTTTGACGTCCTTTAATGCTAGCAGCTTGACTACTATTCAGCACGGTACTATGATTGATTAAGGCATGCTGGCTGTTTGTATCTGATTCTTGACCTACTGCACTTTCGCCCAGATCATCTTGACTTGTATATCGCATAATACTATTACTATGTGATAATTTACTGAAACTCATTGTGTGATCTTGTAAATCTGTGCGCACATCAAATAAGCCTTCAAGAACAACTAATACATATAACAAGTGTGCTCGTTGTCGTGGATTATATCGAGTAAGTTTTAGAAACATTTGTGCGAATTCAAACGGACAATCTGCTGAAAGTTGATTTCTAAGTAATTCATTGGAGTTGATTTGTCTTTTTTCTGCTAAAATGTTGTCGCGCAATACACCTTCATAGGGAATTGCACCATTACAAGCAGCTAAAAAAATTCACAACGAAGAGGTTCAAAAACTTGAAATTGATTATATTGAATATTCAATCAAATTTGTGTTGCTTACTTGACCACATTATCAATCCAAAAGAGTATATGTCAGCTAGTTCAGGATTGCTAAATAACATAAATCAACTTAATTTTTCTCTGATTAAATGCCAGGATTAGACACGAAGATTTGAAAGAAAAAAAAAGTTATTTACTCTTGATAATATTGCTTCATGCTAGCATCGTTAGCGATAACTTCCGGCGCAGCCCAATGTATAGTTCCACTCGGCTGAAAAACAGTTAAATCTTCGTCAATTTTACTTTTATTATTTGTAAAGCCGGCAATTTTCGGTGTTAAATCGGTTGTCAAAAATATATTTTCCGGTTTTAAGTTGAAATGCGTGATTCGTTCTTCGTGACATTGAAAGAGACCCAGTGCGATATCATGACATAGTTTCGCACGTAGTTCCCAACCGATTGACGTATTCTTTTTTAAAAACTGACCAAGTGTTCCATTTGCTGCATATTCAGTCACCAATGCTATTTTATCGCCTCGTAGCATGAATCCATGAAATTTTAGTACGAATTCGTTTCTGCGAAGTTTATGATAGATGTGGAAATCTTCTAGAATTGCTGTCATGTCATTCTATTATTTTATATCATGTTTAATAATATTTTAATTTTAGGCTTGAAAATTAAGGGGGGGGGGGAGGTAGCTTATTTTTGGGGTCACATTTATTATAATATGTCACGTTTAAAAAATGGGGTAGATAAAATTAGTCAATTATTACTTACGCTGCTAGATTTTATCGCAACATCCCTTCCTTGATATTGAACTTTATAAACTTTACCCAGACGGCCAGTACCGATAATAATAGGTGGTCTTGGCCATGATATTTCATGACTTTTTATTGTAACTTTTTTAAGTGACATTTATATAAATTAATTGGTCGGTTTTTTTGATAGGAAAAAAATAGTTTAATCTTTTTGTTTTGGTTATTTATTTATTTATTTTGCAAATATAATAATAGTATTTTGTTATGATATATAATTTGCTTGCTATCGATGCTTTTTATAAAAGATGATAATAAAACGAAGAAACGATAACGCTAAGCAATAATGTTTTTTTTTTACTGAAATAGTGTTTTTAAAGAAGTAGAAAAAAGAGAAAGCATTTTTATGATCTTTGAACAATATGCAAAATGGTTTTTTTTGGTTTTTGTGTAATTCCTGTTGTCCTACTTGTTTTTTGTTTACCATATAATAAATAACATTTTATGGCTGCTAAATTGTCCACATATAAAAAAAGCATCAACACTACACATACCGATACATCTTTTGTTCACGAACATTCACGCAAAGTTCCATACACAAAAATGCCCCTTAAATAATCAAGCTTTTTCACCACAATCATCATATACGCTCATTTGCTTTACGTTCAGGAATGAATATATTACTGAGTGTATATTGCTATCCGAGTATGTCTTTAAATAGGTTAAGGACCGAAAAAAAGGGGATATATTAATCGATGAGTCAATCGTCTAAACTTTTCGTGATAGTGCATTCATTCACTCTCTCTCTCCTCACGCAATGTAACCCATGCCACAACAATGTGCATACATTCCATACCGAACTATAGTTTTTTTCTTTATAGATAGTGCGGACATGCAAAACGTAATGTATTTGAGCATTTAGAAATGAAATATTCAAGTGAAATTGGTTTTTTTCCAATATCTAATTAACGAATCAAATATTAATCGAGTTCAACAATCATAAAAAAACAGTAGGATCAAAAATGCACGAAAAGGTGTCACATTTTTTTAAGATTTTTCTTTGATAGCAATTATGTAAATTGAATTATTCCGCTGCCTTTATCGGATGCTCTTGTTATTTTTGAAATCTTTAAATTATTTCGCAAGTCTATTTTGGATACCCCATTGATCTTTTTCACGCCAGATTAGGCATCGGTTATAATGAAATGACAATCATTTAAAGAAAACAATTGCATTGGTCCCATTTTTTTGTTTCTGGAGTAAAATTAATTTGTTTCATTTTATTTATCGTTATTATTATTATTCAACTGTATAATTATAGAATGATTTAATTGGTTTTTTTTGTTTGATTTTTCCCCCCATTAATGCAAAACAAGAAATAGTTTAGAAAATAGCAAATCGCTTGTTAGCGTTAGAAGTTTTAACACTCAAAATATTAACGTTAATAGTTTTTTGGTCGGAGATTTTCTTTTTTCTTAATGACCACACAGGTACACACTACACGAATATTTTGATTTGTTCCTGTTATTTGTTAGATCCGTGTAGGACAGTTTCAAGTTTGCGTGTTTGTTATTGGAAAGAGATTAGTTCGAGTGCGTGGTATCTATCTTAATTTTAGTGCGTTTGTTTAGATCGATATGTATATTGTATGAGCAAATGAAGCAATATGTCATTGTTTCGTTAAAATAGTCAAAATAATGATTAAGAATTCCTCTTATCTTAAGGAATCAGGTGATACTAATGTTATGATGATTGGATGGAGATATTCCAGGAACTGTTTTATGTAATATCTCGTATCAAAATTAATGATTTATCACCATTAAATAATCCAACAATATCGATATCAAGATTAAAGTTGGTCGAGATATTCATTTTTGAATACAAACAAAAGATCATTAATTTAAAGTTCATGTAATCTAATTACAAACTTTTAAATTTATAACTTTTTCATTTTTCACTTTACATTTTATGTTTTATACTTTTCACATTTCATGTCTATCATTTATATATATTTTTATTAATTAATTATAAATAAATATCATGTAATTAGTTATTCTTGTTATTATAACAAAAGAAAATATAAATATATTAGTTATATTTCATTTGAATTTATTATTTACTTGTTTATAAATTGGTTGTTTTTATTTTATTTTTGATAATTTGTTTTAAAATCAATATTTTTTTTAGAAAATTTTGTTTAAAATACTTGAAATACCAAAAATTTTATTTATTTTATGACAATTTCTATTTTTATATATAATATATGAATTAAGAATGGATTCCAAAACTGGTGTAGTTTAGAACAACTAAAACTAATATATAACTTTCAAATTCAGTAAATAATTTATTAGAAAATTAATATTTACAATAAAATCTAAATAATATAAAAAACTTAAATAATATTTTGATATTATTATTTCAGTTTTTTGCTCAATGATTTATATAATAAAAAATCTTTTAATAAAAGATCTCTTTATTATAAGAAATTTATTTAAAATAAATATAATTTATTTATTATAAATTTAAAAGTTCAAAAATAGTTTTATTAACAAGATTTTTTTATTACTATAATATAGATAGCTTAAATATATCAAATATTATATTATTATTAAATTTTTCAAATAAAGATTATAATTATATATTTTTAATAAATCAATGAAAATATAGTACTTTATTATAATAATATTTAAATTAAATTTATTATTTAATTATTTATATTTTTATTGAATAACTTTAAAATTACATGATTTTTATATATAACATATAATTTAAATACAGTCAAATCTCTCTATAGTCATATCTATTTATAGTTACACCTCTCTATAGTTACCCTATTTTACTTTCACATTTATATATAAATATAGTAAAAAAATCTCTTTATAGTTATATTCTCTTTATAGTTACCAAATTTTGCTTTCTTGAAGATGATGACTATAGAGAGATTTGATTGTATGTGATTTTTATATGTAACTTGTACATATAATTTTATATATAATTTATTATAATTTATATAATTTGTATAATTTATCACTATATATATATTCCAATATCTCTTCTTTTAAATAACAAACAAATAAAAAAAATACTTCAAAAAATCAATTTTATTTTATTATTATCAGATTATTTTATTATTATATTATTCTTAATAATTTAAATGAGCACTTTTTTGATCTTTCAAAAATAGAATTACTAATTTATTCATATTTAAAGATTTTTATAAAACAATTTATATAATTTATCTACAAAGAAATAATTCAACATGAAAATATCAAAATACTAACTAAAGATTAAATAAATATAATCTAGTGCTCTTCAAAACTAATAATACTTCTGATTCATATAGTAATTTTTGATTCTTAATAAATTATTACTAATCATTTATTAGTTTAATCTCTTATTAATATTAATAATATATTATAAAGTAGATAAGAGTATTATGATACAATTAATATTACTAATAATATAACTTTGTAAAATTGGTATAGAATTTAAAAAATTTTAACAAATATATATTGTTTGGATTTCAAAGAAAATATTTTTATTTAAAATAAAAAAAATTTAAACTAAAAAAATTATTTTT